AGGGATAGCATTAGGAGAAATACCTATGTAAGTGTCGACATCATGGGTGCAGCAAACCAACATGGCACATGTATACTTATGTAACATACCTGCACTTTGTGCACATGTACCCTGGAACTTAAAGTATAATTAAAAAAAAAAAAAAGAAGAAGAAGTAGGAAGAAGAAAGAAAGAAGAAGGAAGAAAGAAGAAAGAAGAAAGAAGGAAAAAGGAAGAAGGAAGAAGAAGAAGAAAGCACTATTATAAGATGGCTCAAAATGTTTGCTGCCTAATATCAAAAACATAATTCTGGCTGGCTGCAGTGGCTCTCATCTGTAATCTCAGGACTTTGGAAGGCCAAGGCGGTGCATCCCTTGAGCCCAGGAGTTTGAGACCAGCCCAAATTGGCAAAACCCCATCTCTACTAAAAATACAAAAAAAAATTATTCGGGCATCATGGCACGCCTGTAATCCAAGCTACTACTCAGGAGGCTGAGGACAACAATCACTTGAACCCAGAGGATCAGGGCAGAGGGTGCAGTCAGCTGAGATGCGCCACTACACTCCAGCCTGACATGACAGAGCGAGACTTCATCTCAAAAAAGATAAAATTTGTTAACATTTTAAAAAAATTTGCTGCCTCATGGACAAACATCAAATTTGGCATATGAAAGAGAGTTAAGGGATATATGTAACAAGGATAAAAATGATAGGGTTGATCAAAGGTTAAGGTAGAAAAAAAGTTAAAGAATCAGACAACTGAAAATATTTTTTAACCATTTCCTATTTAGTATGAATGAGTTTTGAAAAACAAAAACTCTATTGAATAACTATATGTTATTGTTACCTTCTCATGATATAGGCACGTAAGCTGCTGAGGCTATTTGTGTTCCGAAAGATGAGTGTAGACAGAAACACAAAAGCATTAATTTATAAGCCAAAAGAATAACAAACTTTTGGAGAAAAAGTTTTAATTCGAAGTTTGGGGAGACAAAGGAAAGAAGATTCATTTCTATTTTAAAAAAAAAGTTTTATTTAAGAAATTTCCATCCACCATATATTTCTAAATAAAATTACAGGAAATGGCCAAATCTTGTTTTTATAATCAACTTTTTAAATAATTTATTGCAACTTATAGTACTCTGAAGCATATTGGAGATGTATAATAATTTCATGCTCATGAAATCCTAAGTTAAGTGAGTTCAGAATTATCTTTACCATTTTATACATGAGGACACAAGGTTAAAGACTTTGCCCAAACTAAATAGCAGAGGCAAGGACTTAAAATGAGTTCTTAAAACAACTGCAAGAAACTCTGTGTGATCAACTCTCTCAATGTTGTTTAAAAAACACTATCAAATGAATTAATGTGATTAATGTATTAAGAACACCAAGTACTAAGAATCATGCAAGATATTACTACTTTTAGACGTCAGTACCCAGATCTGTTTCAAATGATTAACAGTGACTCAACCCTACCACAGGAGTCGCATTATGCTTAAAGTACTGGCAGTGCCATTAAAATATGTGAACTTTGAGAAGTTCCTTCAAGTCTCATATTGTTTGAGACAATAAATTCTAACGCCTACCTCAAGTTTTTTGTGAGAACTAAATGAGAAATATATGCAAAGCATGTAGCACATATGTCAGTATGTTGTCATTACTCAATAATTAATAGCTATTCTCATCAATTGCTTTAGAATTAATAAATCTGCTCATGGTGTCACAATTCACTAACAGCAGATCCAAGAATAAACTCTAAGTCTGTGAAATCCAAATCAATTATCTTTCCTAATACAATGCAAATCACAGATTTGCTTCAGTGCTTTCCAAACAAGGATATGCAATGGTGAACTAGAATATAGGAAGTCACAAGGATAATTATAGTGTGGTTATCCGGATTAACAATTTCCACAAAGATTCAGAGTGACAGGTGAAGCTGAATAACTAAACCGTTAAGAGCGTTACACCTCATTTTTACATTAAGCCAAATGTAAATATAATGCAGACAAGACTACAAAAAATGCTTAATTTTTAAGGTAAAAATAACAGACTTCCCAGAACTCTTGCTGATGGACACTTGAGGCTATGCCCTCAAACACGGAATTTTACACTGGCTAGATCTTCTAAAATATGTAAAATTCTGCTTTATGAACACCTCTACACTGCTGATCCAATTTTTTTTCGTATTTTAATTTTCTTAGGTATTTTTTTAAAAATTGAATATAAATGTCAATTTTGAATAATACATAACTGAAACCACAGTCTATAAGTTAGAAGCATTTCAATTAATGTTTTAACTCTTAAACAATGTAGTCAAGGATATTAATGAATTCTACATATATTCTACCCACCTCTCATTTATTTTCATGTTTTACAATATAATTACCTGCATGTTGACTCTTTCGATCACACAAGAAAGGACATGCAAAACGTGCATCTTTGTGTCACATTCTGTAACTTGTTGCAGTAACTGAAAAAGTAGTGTGAACATGGTTTCCAAATACTGCAGGCAAAAAGAAAGAAAATAAAAAAGGTTTAGAACAGAAATGAAAGACATTCATATGAACAGAAGAAAGAAATAAATCATAATATCAAAGCAGTAAGTCAAATAAACAGAAAGCCAAAAGCTTGGCATTACCTAAACAACCTGAAATTGTTTAAGCTGCCAGTATTTTACATATTGTTTTACAAAGTGTTTTCTTTCTTCCTTGCTGCTGAATGTGTCCATTTCAGAATTTAACTCATCCACAAACCGAATAATGTTTAGAGGAATATTGTCTAAGCTATGTCTGTTTAAATTTTATACTGTTAACTAAACTATTAATAGTGCCTTGTCACTGTTCTTCCATATATGCCCGCTGCCAATCACAGAATGTTTTGTTTTGCAAGACCTACTCATTACAGCAAAAAGACATTATTGCACTCACATGCCAGCTATCTGATGAGGCCCTTAACATATATTGTATGAAGATATATATTTTATAGATATAACTTGTTATTCTAAAAATGGCAGAATAGTTCTTATTGGGAAATCAAAAACAAATACCCTATGTCTGGTTGTGAACTCCTATATTATGAAAATTACGTTATAAACTAACAAACCACACTTACATAAAGCAAGAATTTGTTCTTTCAGATATATGGCTCACTTCTGCAACACATTTCTTTCATCCAAAAATGTCTATAGTGATTACTTTATTAAAGCAAGATCATTGCTTTACAAGCTTCCCTATCTATCCCCCTCACCAAAAGTAGTACATTTTATCACGTAACTTTCTTCTCAGCCAGTCCTCTTAAGAACAAACACTAACACCCCAATGTTACTGATATGTTTAACAAGTGCTTACTGAGTACCAGTTACAGGAAAACACCATGCTAGGTCCTGGGGGTTGAGTAAAGAGTAAAAAGATGAATAGAACTTGGTATTCTGCTCATCAAGTAATTTACAGTCTAGTGTGTGGGATAGGATACAGATATACACACGCAAATAACACAGAGAAATAACCTAAGGAGTAAAATTAACAGGCACACATAAAATGAAGATACTAAATGATTTTCAATTTTGAAAAAAAAAAGTATGGCAATCAACTTCAACATAGATGATAAAATTGCTGAACAAAAGTAAGCAGAATATAAGTGAACTGTTACCAGTAAAAGTTACCAAAACAGTTTACAAATAAAAATTATGTCCTCCAAAATAATCCAATATAGCATACTTTTAAATCCAACTTTAATAAGTAACACACAGATAATTTCATGTATAAAATAGTATTCAAAGACATAAGCAGAAATGGTTTTTTAAAAAAATAACTAGAAATGTATATTCTTACCGGTAGAAACTGATCTGTTCTAAATTCAAAATCATCAACAGGTGAAGCGCAGTTAAGGAATACTGAGAATACATAAGTTTTATCAAAATAAATCTGTATCTAAAACAAGGATACATAAATTAATTTCACAAAATAAATAACTAAAAAGTGTTAAAGTTCTTTGCAATCAAGTATTTTTACATTTTCAGAAGGATATTTAACTTCAAAGTTGTAGCTGTTTCAATACGGACCTAAAAGAAAGTATATCATGAGTTTTTAATTATTTTAGAATGACTAAACATCATTAATATCAAATAAAAAATTTTATTCCAAATCACTTTCTGTACTCTTCTTCTTATTAGAGACACAGACCATGTAAATATTCAGAAATACAAGGATACTCTCCTTATCCAAAGAAAGGAATAAAAAGAAAAGGTAAAGTAATATTTATTCCTATTCTTCTCAGTTTCTCATAATTTACTTAACAAGCCTTTAACCCAGTGGGTCCTTCCAGGAAGGAAAATAATTTGCCGTAAAGTATGTGGAGGGCATGGGATCGAGGAAGAAGGAAGCAGGAAACCAGGGTGGGGTTGGGCAAACTGGAGGATGTGTAAGTGAAAGGTGCAAAAGGAGACAAGGAAGGAAGGAGTCGGGGAGGAGAAAGAACACAAGCAAATTTCCACCTGTAACCTCAACTACAGTAAATCTTTGAAATATCCCCAAAATATTCTGAGATTTTCTGTTGTTGTTGTTGTTGTTTGTTGTTGTTGCTGTTGTTGTTTTGAGACGGAGTCTCGCTCTGTCGCCCAGGCTGGAGTGCAGTGGCGCGATCTCGGCTCACTGCAAGCTCCG